TCGGGGTTCTTCGGGATGTAGTCGCACGTCCAGAGCAGCGGGAGCGCCTCGCCCTTGAGGTCGAGGACGTCCATCAGGCCGTTCTTGATGTCCGTCGTCAGCTTCGTCAGGAGATCCGCGTAGAGCGGGTCCGACGGCTCGTAGTACGTGTACGCCGAGTTGCCGCCGACCGCCGACAGGCCGCCCTCGGGCTTCTTGTGGATGATCATCTGGCACGTGTCGCCCGCCATGAGGACGCGGACCTCGCCCTCGGAGATGCGGGGCAGGAGCCGCTGGTCGACGAGCTGGCCGCCGGCCGCCGCGCCGCCCTTGAGGTACTCGCCCGGGAACGTCGACGTCCAGGTGCCGGCGCCGGCGCCGCTCGGGCCGTCGACGCAGAACACGAGGAACTCCTTCACCGTGTGGTACTCGACGTGGTTGTCGTTCATCTCCATGAGCTTGAGCATGACGTCGTCGCCGAGCGACTCGGCCCCGAACGTCTTCGACGGGTACTCGATGTCCGGGATGATGCCGTCCTTGGTCTCGTTGGCGATCCAGCACAGCCAGATGCCCTCGCCCGCCGAGCCGCGGTTCTGCTTGACCACGCGCGGCTGGAACGCCATCGTCTTCTTGAACTGGGTCTCGAGGGTCTCCGCGTCGTAGTACGCGAAGGTGTCGACGAGGCCGCAGCCCATGTTGGCGATCTTGCAGAGGGCGTCCTTGGCGCCCATCTTCTGCTGGACGCCGGGGCTCGACCAGACGGGCTTGCCCTTGCCGACGAACGCGTTCATCGTCGCGTCGAACTTGGCCTGGACGCCGTCGACGCCCGGGATCTGGGACAGCTGGCCCGGGTTGATGCGGACGATGAGCGCGTCGTACTTCTCGATCGTCGCCTCGAAGCCCGCGTGGTCCGTGTAGTCGTACAGGAGCATGTCGCACGCCCCGCCGGCCTTGATCACGCCGTTCGCGATCGGGATCGAGTCGATGCGGTTCCCGTCCGGGCCCTTGTCCGAGCCGCCGTTCGGGTGGCCGGGGACCTTGAACTGGACGACGGCCAGCGAGTACTTGGCACCCGCCGGCGACGGCAGCAGCGTGTTGTAGCGGACCTTGGACGCCGCGGCCGTGTCGAGCATCTCGAGCGCCTTGATGCCCATGAGATCCGTCAGCTTGCACGCCTCGTAGTAGTCCGCGTCCGGCACGTCCGCGAGCGTCTTGTCGCCGCCG